CAAATATGGCGCCAGGCATTTTTCTAAGGCAAAGCGGGATTGCGGCTTTCATCCATAGCTTGTTGGTGCAATAGGACATGCAAAAACCGCAGTAAGTGGCCATTGGAAGGGAGCCCTACTTCGGCACCGCAGGAGCCACCACCAGCCGATCCATTTTCGCACGGCATTTTGTGTGTTGCGATTTTGGCATGCAGCTTCTGATTCTGTGGATTACTACTCTTTTGGCGCGTGGATTCGCGGGGGCCGCGTTCAGGGCTAGATTGATGGCTGCGCGACGGTTGTGAGCCTAGGTCTGTCGGAACCTGGAGGCCTCACACGCAAGACACAGTCGCGACCAACGGGGATCGCAGGTTGAGACATTCCATGCACAAGGACGGATAGAGATGAAAGCGAGCATTGCTACTTCAATAGGCGTAGTGTGGAGTCATAGTGGCCACAAATGTAACAGTCACAACCCAGAAGATGAAAAGATGCAACCCAGAAGAAAGAGAAACGACGACGAACCTGTTGGTTCAGTTCTTGTGGAGGGAGGTTCTGTTTAGATGAGCCTATTTTGTCTTGTGCATTCTGAAAATGCATAGATTTCTCTTGTTCTTGGCTCGTTGGTTCGTTGGCCAGAAGTCGGCATTAGTGAGACTCGGAAGGCTGATCGGAGTGAGTGACAGAGTACGAGAGAACAAGACCATCAAAATGACGTGCAGAGTACGAGAGAATATAAATGAAAATATCATGCTAGAAATAGATCGAAATCGAAGACAGCAGTTTCATAAATACCATAGGAGTAGAGACGAGCATGACTGAATTCGAAAACAGTGGTACTTTGTATGGGACGAGCGACAAAAGGAGAGCATTTTCAACTATCGTTTCGACGATTTCCTCTGACCATCCGATGTTGAGCGAATTCGTTTTCGAAAAGAAAAGCGATCGAAGATTTAGATTGTGACTGGAACGACAATAATAGAGGTCCTAGTAAAGTAAACCAATTCACATTCTTTGATCGTGTATTTTTCAGTGTGTAGTTACTTAGAGTCGGAGTTGTCCGCTCGAGTCGGGTTTGCAGTATGCCTAGGTAGATGATATGTT